GCACCCATCGGGCGGTCGGGAGTTAAATCACATTTGGGCCGATTTACCCACCCAGCCTACTGCACAACATGTATGGAATCCACCAGTTCTGGTGCCGTTAGCTGACTGGGAAGCAGGATTTCCTAGGCAATCGATTTAGACTGTACCAGATGACTTATATGCACACTTTATTAATAAAGAATTTTGGTAGATTTGAATAATTCAGTTGACCCAGTTGTTAAAACCTCGGCACCCAAATGTTTTTGGATAGGAGGGCTGGCTGTTTCACTAGGACGACGCGCCTGCCCACAGAGTCTTTAAAAAGCCAAAAGTTTTGGCTAGAAAATGGTATGACAACGCATGTTTTCTTTCCACTTGCCCGCCTCGACTTAGTCCCCTCCCCCTCCTGCGACCTCCTCTTATTTCAACGAAAGGCGCGCTTTGGGAAAATTAGGATATTTATTCAGTAAATAGTCGACACTGGATCGCCAGGTCGTCGTCAGACTTGAGGAAAACGTGCAAAGAACAGTTAACATTCCAAAGTGCTGACACCGTTATAGAGTCGTCTAATGTGAGCGCTAATTGGCAGTAGAAAGTTTGCGTCACATCATGGTTGGCATAATTAGCATGATGCAAGAATCATCGGAGTGCATGGCCTCAAGAAATTGTCGGCCATTCTTAGAGGGGCAAACACCGAAAATCCTTTGCTAAGCTTGTAACACGGTATATTGTCGCCGAATAGAATGATCCATCTCCGCACGCATCCACGAGCACCAGTGTGCAGTGAAGAGATGTGACCATTTGTCCGAAGTGGCTAGGCATTGCTTTGACACTAGATCTATCTTTACATGGGACAAAACACTCATAGCCGGAGCTTGCCCTTCAAAAAAAGGCCGGGGATTTCTTGAGGCCATGCATTCCGATAATTCCTGCATCAATTGGCGTATCGATTTGGCTGGAGTTTACAAACACCTCAAGGAAAGGTGGAAGAGACTACAGCCGAAAACTATGAACCGCAGTTAGCGCTCACACCAGATAACCCGGACCGACTCAAATTGCAGTTGCAAATTAGCAACTACGGCATTGCGACGGCTGACTATGTCCACCACGATGTGACGCAAACTTCAACTACCAATTAGCGCTCACACTAGACGACTTTTTAACTGTGTCAGCACTTTGAAATGTTAATTGTCCTTTGCACGTTTTCCTCAAGTCTGACGACGACCTGGCGATCCAGTGTCGACTATTTACTGAATAAATATCCTA